CTCTCTCTCTCTCTCTGGCTTAAGGGCGAGGCTTTTGTTAAATTGCCTTTTAAACTCTGAGCATAACCCCCCCCTCTCTCTCTCTCTCTCAAAGCAGATAGAAACAATGGTATATAACGAATAAAAAGAGATAATGAAACTATACTATTGATTTATGTGCAAATATCGGTTTAGATTATTATTCTAGAACTGTTGATTTACAAGAATATCAGTTTTAAAAGTTTCGATCGATCTGTTGATTTCTACGAATACTATTATAATTGGGAAGAAGAAGAGAGACCTCTCTCAATATTATTAATCAATCCAAAAACTGTTGAATTCAGCTTGTCAACACAATATAAATACGAAGCTCTAATGGTCTTAATGACTAGAAAATCTAAGTAAATAAGCAATAATACGAAAATGGCTCAAATAACGGGGATAAAATAAAAAAATGTCATAAACATCATTATTTTGGCTTAAAAAAGACGTGTGAAAGATATATTTTCAATCATGTTCAGATCGTTGAAAACTTTCTAGAATAGGGTCTTTCGAAATTTTTTAACATTGTCGCCCAGAATCAACCATAATTAACATCTGATCAACTCTACTTTTGACGGTCTTTGATCTATCATGTAGTTATGTGCTATAAGTTCTGCATCTCTCTCTCTTTCTCTAAACAAAAGAAAAAGTTGAAACATTTCTATCTTTTATGCTTTGTTTGGTACGATGAAATATTGAAGGATGAAAAGTTGGAAATATGAAAAGTTGGAGGGATAGATAAAATATCATGTTTGGTAAGGAAGAAAAATAAAAAATATAAAAAGTGGATAGATTAACTTTCCTTTCAACTTACCAAAATTAATCTCTCTAAAATTGGGAGGAAAAGTGGATAAAAAGTTAATTATGTACGTTGAAATATATGCATTTACCTATATCTCTTTTAATATAACCATATATCATATTTATTTATTGCATATTATGTTTGCATTAATTTTATATTTAGATATATTAATAAAATATGCATTTATATTTTTTTCATCCTACCAAAAACAAAAAAATCAATCCTTCCTACTTTCTATCTATTTTATCAAACACAAAGGAGAGAATGAAGAATTACTCCTTTAAAGGATAGAAAGTGACTCCCACTTTTCATCTCACTACCACTTTCTATTCTATGATTTTTCTGTCCATATAACTAAACACACCATAATTAATAGCACTAGAAAGAGTAATACTCTTTGAAGCTAAAAAATTGACCTAGCAAAGACCCTCCCTCTCATTCTCTCTCTACTTTAACACATCATTCATCTCACACACATATAAAAAATTTAAAATAAGTTAATTTAAAATTAAAAAATTTAATATTAAATATAAAAAAAGGGTCTTATTTCGTATTATCACTTTAGGTCTCACATGACCTTAAGCTGCCATACTGAAAGCACTTTGCAATACTAAAATCCAAATATTGATCTTGCAATATTTATATTTTAATAACAACTTTTTTTTCTTGTCTTCTCTTTAGTTATGAAATTTAAAATTAAATTTGATAGGACATTTTCGGAATACTCCAAGATGAAAACACGTGTCCCCGGTGTCACTGATCCTTGTTTATCGAGATCACGTACCCATCGGGGTCACAGTCCCTCTACCCCGAGGTACTTATCANAATTGATGGGACATTTTCGGAATACTCCAAGATGAAGACACGTGTCCCCGGTGTCACTGATCCTTGTTTATCGAGATCACGTACCCATCAGGGTCACAGTCCCTCTACCCCGAGGTACTTATCATGGGATCGAGTGGCATCCAGTACGTTTTATGTACCGACACGTACCCTCGGTCTGATATGGTACATCGGTCGCTAGGCTCCCCCCTCTCGGATTCAAGATGTACCTCTTCCTCGATTCCGAGATGTACCTCTCCCTCGGTTCCGAGATGTACCCCCTCTCATCCATGATGAGGTTCTCTGCTCCAGCAGAGGTTATTGATGCACTGGTCACTAGCCTAGGCTAGACTAGATTAGCCATCATGACCTCGTCTTACACAATTGATGTCAAAAGGCACAGGAAGGCAAGGGCCACAGCCAATGAGGAATGGACGCGTGACATATTGTGTCACATCAGAGACAGAAAGACCGTATGACCTTGCTGACATGCGACTTGGGAAAACAAACATTTAATTACACCATTCCCTTGATGAGACTGCATTCAATGCGGTAAGGCTCAGAAGTGAAAGGCAATAAATGTCTCTAAGGCTGGACATTTATTGCATCCTCCCCGAGAGGAGCTCATTGAACCGTCGGCAGGCCGTTGACACAGACTTGATTGTTCGGGGTCCCGAGCAGTTAAGAGAGAAGACATTCCTCATAGGAATCAGTGCGCACGTTGCCTGTATCTAATGATCACCTACTGACCACATTGACAACAATCATGAGTATTTGAAGTATAAATACTCCTCACTAAATGCAAGAACGGGAGGTGAAACTTTTGCTACAAATTATACTCAATGTTTTCTTCTTCCTCTCTCTCAAAAACTGACTTGATCGTCGGAGGGGATACGCCGAAAAACACTCCGGCGCCCTTCTAATTTGTTCTTCTTTTTTCCAGGAACCTTTCTTCAGCCTTACTAGATCGTTCCTTTGATCCGCGAGGGTCTCCCATTACCGTTCCAGGTTACCACCGGATCTTACAGGCTGTTCCAAGCAGCATGGTTGACCACTCAACTGACTCACTCGAGTTCACAAAGGGAGAAATCTGTTCTCGTTTTTATATTGTGCAAGATCTAGCACGCACAATCTGGCGCCGTCTGTGGGAACCTCCTCATTTGAGTGCAAGAGCTTATATGCGAGGGGGGAAGACGACTCTCTTCCGATGTGGGATTGCCTTAGGAAAGAGTCCTATTGGCGAAAAGAGGTAAAGGCTACTAGTGCTCGGTGCCGCCAGGTCAGCCAGAATCCTTCAAGTGGAGGGATGAAATCCGTAGCGATTTCTATCCCTTACAAAAATGAACAAAAAGAAATAAGAGGGAGTTGAGCGAGAAAGAAGAGAGAGATAAGTGTGAATTAGTAGAACTGTTTAGACGTTAGAGGGTGTGTTGCTTGACTTATTGACATTGAAGACCGTGCACAAAATATGATTTTTTGAGTAAATTTTTTTTTTTGGAATGAACTTTATGCAATTAGATAAAAATAAATGTTTTTTTTATTAATTTTAATCATTATTATACTTTTATAAATTAAAGATTCAACTTTCTCACCTAAATATTAAATAGATTTTTTGAGTACCCCATATATTTTTAAGCCTTAGCTCCTCATCAATTAGTTACTGTCAAACAATAATATTATGGAAAAATTTCAACTATACCCCATCTAGTTTACTATATTTTTAAGGACACTCCCTCTATTTTTTGAATCTTCATTGACACTCCTTATTAGATTAAAAATATAATTTTACTAAATTGCTCATGATATATTTTAAGAAAAACTCCATCCACACCTCCTCTAGATAAACATATCTTCAATGAGGCCCCCTCTGTTTTCTAATTTTTTTTTACGTATTAAAATTCGGGCCAATTAAAATTAAATTTAAACTAATTAAAATTTATTTTTTTACATATTAAAATTTGAGCCAATTAAAAATTA